TAGTATTACAGCACAATTGTGCTTCTCGTTTGCCTGAAGCCTACACTTCAAATTGTTCCATTCTACCAATGCTTGACGGGCCCAAGGACCATATAAGACTTGAATGTAAGACAGTCCGCAGGCGATTGGATTTCATACTTAGCATATTCTCTGAACCGGCAGACCCTTGCAGCTCTGCAGGCTTGTAACTATGGATTGGCATCAAGCCTAAAATCTCAGACCAGCAGTTTGCGAAACTTTTTGGCAGTGTGACCCACTTAAAACCTTTCAGATGTTCCTCGGCTCTAACAAAATAAACCGAACTATGTCTACTGCCACAACCCAGTCTTTAGACATGACGCAAGACAAACTGGCAAACCAATGAACCACCAATGTGTCGCGACCAACCATTTGGAAAAATGCATTAAACTACTTAAAGGCAATGTTAGTCATAATACTACGCAGGCCGAGATACTGAGATACTGACATAATGCCATATCAATACTCAGTCAATTGGCATTGCAACTGACAGGTGGTGAAAGTGAATCCAGGTCAGAGTTACAGATGGAGAAAAACTTTGACTTTGAAGTCTGTGATAGATAATTGAAAGTTCAATCTGTACCGCCATCATTAGACAAGCAGTGAATCAGCTGTGTGGCTGTGTCTTTTATTTTTTTTATTTTTTTTATTTCACCTTTATTTAACCAGGTAAGCCAGTTGAGAACAGGTTCTCATTTACAACTGCGACCTGGCCAAGATAAAGCAAAGTAGTGCAATAAAAACAACAGAGTTACATATGGGGTAAAAAAAAACATAAAGTCAGAAATACAACAGAAAATATATATACAGTGTGTGCAAATGTAGCAAGTTATGGAGGTAAGGCAATAAATAGGCTATAGTGCAGAATAATTACAATAGTATTAACACTGGAATGCTAGATGTGCAAGAGATTATGTGCAAATAGAGATACTGGGGTGCAAAAGAGCAAAATAAATAACAATATAGGGATGAGGTAGTTGGGTGGGCTAATTTCGGATGGGCTGTGTACAGGTGCAGTGATCGGTAAGGTGCTCTGACAACTGATGCTTAAAGTTATTGAGGGAGATAAGAGTCTCCAGCTTCAGAGATTTTTGCAATTCGTTCCAGTCATTGGCAGCAGAGAACTGGAAGGAATGGCGGCCAAAGGAGGTGTTGGCTTTGGGAATGACCAGTGAGATATACCTGCTGGAGCGCAGACTACGGGTGGGTGCTGCTATGGTGACCAATGAGCTAAGATAAGGCGGGGATTTACCTAGCAGTGATTTGGGCCTGAGTCAGTACAGAACCAGTTATGAGGACTACCTACTATACTTCCTGCATATTGGTACACTCAATATGTCTGCCTGTTCACCCACAACATATGTTTAACTTGAATGGGGATTCCTATTCTAGTCATTCTATTTCTATGGATGAGCGATCCTCCAGTCTGGTCTGGAGTCAGATCTTCAGGGAGAGCTTTGTTGTAGGTCAGCAGAGTTCCACTCAAACAGCGGGCCAAAAGAGCTCCCAAAGATAGACGCAGCTTTCATGATGGGGAGTGAAGTAATTCTATCTAGATCATTTGCAAGGCTCAGTAAGGTGTTGTCTTGTTCTGAATATGAGAGCTCAAAACTAGGGATGTGGTTTTGCAAGAGAGGAAGGGGTAGGGACATGAGTTGTAACTGTTTCACACACACACACACACACACACACAATATGTACATATACACCCTTCCTGTCTTCAAGACTGTTCCTTCACCTCCAGGTAGAACATGTGATCAAACCACAGCCCCATATGTACTAGAGCTGGGCGAAATGGACAAAAATCCATATTGCGATAAATTGCCTGAATTTATGCGAAAACGATAAATAGAAAAAATTGTTTATAACATTAATGTACATTAATTATTCTTTATAGTTTGATGGTTGTAGCCATCAATTATCCCATTAACAATCACCCATATTAGCAAACTTATTTAGTTTAAAACGTCATATTTCTCTAGTATAGGCTTGTCAGTGACATACACTACAGTGCAAAGGCCTTTCAGCAAGGCTCTTCATTTAACACAGCAGCAGAAACAGGCAACAGGTGATGAAACCATAAGGATACAACAGCCACCATGAAACCTTGCGAAATCATTGGTCTCATGATGTATCACACTGAAGTATGGAAGGGAATTGAGCAACACAGATTGTGTGGAATTGTTTGTCGAGACAAAACTGGCCACTACAGTTTAATAATTTCCCTGCAATTCTTATCAGTTTAATAATCTCCTCATCACTCAACACCAACACTTCCAACCACATACCTTGCCTCTTCTGCCGAAACCGCATAAACACTTGAGGCCTTGTGGTTTGGGGTTCTTTCCGAAACCGTTAACCAACTCCAGCACTGTAGTCGTTTTCTGTTACTCACAGATATCACCACCACTGCTCTTCTCAGCTGCGTCTACTGAGCCTCCAAGGCATCAGAATACTTTTGTTTTTCATTAGAAGTGATTCACAGCTGCATTTCTCACACAGTTTGTTCACGGCAGACCTTCTTGTCTTCTCTCTCCAGTCATGATAAACAAGCGGGAAGACACCGCCATTGCCGAGGGGGGTTGTAGTTGTGCTGACAGTGTACTGCAAACCTCCCTGTGAATAACCCCAGCTAATAAAATGTTAGTTTCTCATAATCTTTCCCTTCCATTGAATTTAGAGAACTGAGGTTCAGCCCCTTGTCACATACACTTACAGTGTAATTAATGATCCGCAAACTGTCTCGAACACACATACACGCGTAAACAATTGTTAGTCACTTATCGAGGGTGTTTGTTTCTTGTTTGTTTTCTTGTTCGACGGACACAGCAGGCAGAGAATTGGAAATGGCCTTTCTCAAGCCAATCATGCAATCTCAATGGAAGAAAGGGGAATCTGTGCTATGGTCCCTAATGAGTAACTGAGTAATATTACCTCTGTTTGATTAGGAGCTTAATTGTGATTATAATTAACAAATATAACCTCATCTGGCCACAACGGCCTTCTAAGTGGCCAGTTAATTAAAGGGCTAATTTCCAACCAATGTTGACCGAGGTAAAAATCGCTCCGGAAACGCTCGGGTGGACTGGCATTATCCATTTCCTTGTTCCTCATTAATGGAACTGTGTCACACGATGTAGAATTGGAGATCAAGACAAAAGACAGTGTAGCTACAAGAAGCTAGTATTGTCCTCACAGCACTGCGTATAGTATTTCCCCATAGAGGCCCTGCAACCTGATTCACTCACAGACCAGGTTTCTCAGAGAATAGGCGTATCCAATAAGAATACTACAGCTTCTATTCTGACGTGAAAGCATTTTTGTGGGTGCTTGGTCAAGATGCTTGAGCTGTATGGACGAAAGATTTTAGAAAATGAGTTACTACTACTACATGTATTATGGTGTAATGCTGTGTAATTACACAGTAATAACGTATGGTACAGATGGCAGACCCATTGAAAATATCAGAGAACAGAAGTTTAGCCTCGTTGTCCATTGTAGTAGCAGAGCTGTACAGAGCTGCCACAGTATGTGCCTGTAAATATATCTAGGGCAGCACAGCGCTAAGGACCCAAAGAGAGAGACATGGTAAGAGGACAGGGGAGAGAGGGAAAGAGAGAGATACGGTAAGAGGACAGGGGAGAGAGGGAAAGAGAGAGACAGTAAGAGGACAGGGGAGAGAGGGAAAGAGAGAGATACAGTAAGAGGACAGGGGAGAGAGGGAAAGAGAGAGAGACACAGTAAGAGGACAGGGGAGAGAGGGACAGAGAGAGACACAGTAAGAGGACAGGGGAGAGAGGGAAAGAGAGAGATACAGTAAGAGGACAGGGGAGAGAGGGAAAGAGAGAGATACGGTAAGAGGACAGGGGAGAGAGGGAAAGAGAGAGACAGTAAGAGGACAGGGGAGAGAGGGAAAGAGAGAGATACAGTAAGAGGACAGGGGAGAGAGGGAAAGAGAGAGATACGGTAAGAGGACAGGGGAGAGAGGGAAAGAGAGAGACAGTAAGAGGACAGGGGAGAGAGGGACAGAGAGAGACACAGTAAGAGGACAGGGGAGAGAGGGAAAGAGAGAGACACAGTAAGAGGACAGGGGAGAGAGGGAAAGAGAGAGACAGTAAGAGGACAGGGGAGAGAGGGACAGAGAGAGACACAGTAAGAGGACAGGGGAGAGAGGGAAAGAGAGAGACACAGTAAGAGGACAGGGGAGAGAGGGAAAGAGAGAGACAGTAAGAGGACAGGGGAGAGAGGGAAAGAGAGAGACACAGTAAGAGGACACGACAGAGAGAGAGGGAGGGAGCATGGGGATCGGCGAGCCTGGCCCTCTCTAGTGTCTCCTCTTTGACCTGCGCTGTTCAGAGATGTGCCAGATTTACACACATCTTGTTTCTGGCCAATTAGACAGGAATAAAAGCTGGGGATGGGGCCGCAGGTTAAAACTAGGCCACTGTACACTCATTCTCTCTCTCGCCCTCTCCCTCTCGCTCTGGCATTTACAGGGGAAGGGAGGAGAAGATGAAGACAAAAAGAAAGCAGTCCCATTTGGCACCTAGTAGAGATGTCAACTCAGCCTGCGGCAAACAGGGCCTGGGAATTGTTCTTGATCACACACACTCATGCATACAAGTGGGCGCCTGTGTGAGAACTGACCGGTCAGAAAGCATGTGCAGTGTAGCATGACAGTTGAACTTTACAAGCGTGTGCACACACAGAGGCAGAATCACATGTACTGTATGACTCTGTCTCCATCTTTCCTCTCACACAGTAACCTGTCCTTGACAACACAGTGGGAGGGAAACGTCAATTTTCTCTCTCTCCCTTTTGCTCTGTCTCATTGCTTTGTCTCACTTCCTCCCCATCTCTCCCTACCCCTCTCTCACTCTCTCTTTCACTCTCCCTCCCTCTGGTTTCTATGCAGCTAATAATGTCAGCGATAGCAGGGACAGGGTGCTGCTAATGACACAGAGGGTAGGGAGATGTGCTCATTAGTCCTTTGTGTGCAACATGGACGAGTCTCTGCCTGAAGAGGGAAGAGAGCTAAGCCATAGGCCTGGGAGAGACAGATATAAGAAAGAGAGAGAGAGAGAGAGAGAGAGAGAGAGAGAGAGAGAGAGAGAGAGAGAGAGAGAGAGAGAGAGAGAGAGAGAGAGAGATTACAATGTTGTTTTATGGGAATAAGGAATAAGTCAAATAGAAGTCTAAAGAACTAAAAACGCAAAAACAGAAACTTCAACATAATTTAAAATCCAAAATCCTTGTATCCCTCTGTGCTCCTGCAGCCCCAAAAACAAGGCCAACACTGTGAGTGACCTGTAAGACCAGGTGGCTTTTACTGGAAAGTGACGCAACACACAGGCTACGGTAAACAAGTAGGGGTGCATGTGAAAAGTACAACAAACAAACTGACTCTTCTTACCGGACCAGGGGAGGCAGACCAAAATGTAGCATGTTCCACAGAAAACTGTTTCTGTGTAATTTGGCGACACATCTGTAGAAAGTCAAATGGTCAAGTTAGCCAGCAAATCACTTTTTTCTACCACTAGCTGTATGTGACTTTTGGACCCTCTCACGCCTTTTCATTCCAATGTGAGCTAAACGACTCTCTCTTACACCTACGCGCACACACACACACACACCACAATACACACACTCAGACCTCACAAACCTCTCCCTGAATTGAGAGAAAATAAGTTGCGTAATAAATAGGTCCTCCTTCACTGGAGTTTATGAAGTAGTGGGCTACTCTCTCCCTTAAACAATGAGGCACCGATGATAGCCTCAAAGTGCCTTTCCCTGGAAGAGAGGCCAGGCAGAGTTAGTCTCGAAAACCTGACCCTAGGCAACAGCGACTAGGGTCTGGTTTCAATTGCAGACTCTTTTGGCAACTTCGATACGGGGGGGGGGGGGGGGGAATTCTGAGGTGTGTCCTCTTCAGACAGACAACTCTCCCAACAAATCATAAGGCAGACATGCCAGAACGTCACGATTTGAAATCAAACTTTGCAGGCAAAACCTTTGCAGTGGTTTTAGGGAAGGTAGTTGATGCAAACTAGCCACATCCGAAATCCAAAAACAAAACATAAAAATCAATGATCTCCATCTTGCTAGCTACTATTTTGTATTTTACTCAAGCAGATAAAGTAGTGACATAGGCATTGACGTAGTTCCTCTATGCCAACAGAGTCCATCATTGAAACCAGACCCTAGTCACTGTTGCCTAGGGTCAGCTTTCCGAGACTAAAGCAGAGTGAGTCCTCCATTCATTCAAGATGTGCTGTAACATAATATTTTACTTCCAGAGATGAGGCTTCCCTCCTGGCCCCCAACACACACACACACACACACACACAAAAACACACAAAAACACACACACAAAACACACACACACATACACACACACACACACACACTACAGAGACTTGCCCAGGAGCTAGTGTCCTCTGTACAAAGGAAGGGGAGAAAAACGTCCTTGAATGCAAAAAGGATGCAAGCTAACAGCTCCTCTCCACTGTTATCCTTCCTTTTCCCTCTCCTGCTCTATCGCTTCACTCGTTTTCTCCGGCTATTTCCTGTGGGGATGCGCAATACCTGACATTGTTCGACTTACATCTAATCAAACCACCATGACTGTACTCTGCTTCAGGCACAGGAAGTTGTCTTTGTCTGTGGATAGGCCTACAAAAACACAGTAGGTATTGCTTCGACATGTCTGTAATATCACACTCAGCTGCTATCGACTTGCGCAATATTCCAATACCCAACGGGCTCAGCTGCAAACTCCTCCACATGCACGGGCCAGAGAAAATATATGGGCTCACATAACAAACACCAGTGTCTGACATTTGCACTTCTTCCACCGAGCCAGCGATGAAACACAAACACAAACGTTTCCCGCTCCTCCACCCCCACAGAGGCCCACAGGGAGGGAGAAAAAAAGCATCCTTTATTCCTACCTTCCTTGAAGACATCACAGATCTAATTGGTTGGATTGGTGAAAGCAATATAGGATGGTAACATTGCTTAGGCTATACCTATCCAATCAATTATAGACCTGTGCTTACCTCAAGGAAACAAGAAAGGAAACCAAGAAGGAAACAAGGAAGGTAATAATGAAGGATGCATTTCTAAAGTATTCCAACAGGGGCATGGCCCCACTCGGTAAGCGGCCATTTCCCAGCCCAGGGTGACGTCCCCTCGGCACACCCGGATGCATTTCTAAAGTATTCCAACAGGGGCCTGGCCCCGCTCGGTAAGCTGCCATTTCCCAGCCCAGGGTGAAGTCCCCTCGGTGCACCTGGCCCTTAGCTGGAGACAGGAACAGGAGGTTGAGGGAGGTCACCGCACACAACTGACTGGAGGACAGCAGCAGGACACAGAGCCTATTTTTAACTGGAGCTTCTAATTCAGCCAGTCACCCATTTCCTTTTCACAACTCATGGGGTTTTTCATAAGATAGACAGTCAACATATTTTCAGAAGTTGGCTGTTGGGTGTTTCTTTGGGGGGAAGAGAGGGGGTGGGAGACTAATAAACTCTACAGTGACGGAAGTGAAAAAACTAAACATTATGTTTTATGACGTAAACTTTGCTTGTGGTTTAACATGATGTTCCACTGGCTTCTCTTGTAGAGAAAAAACTGTTGTGGGAATATTTTAAGAATACCCTCAAAAGTACTTACTCTCAGAGTTTTCATTCAGAAAAGGAGAACTGATTTGGCCTTAAATGATCTGTCGTCTCAAACAAGTCTGACAAACCAGATGAAGTTTATATGCTGGACTGGTGTTTGGATTTTCAGTTTGTTACGACAGTTGTGGCAACACTTCAGACCACAATTACCGAACATCTTATTCAAATGATAACCAACATGGTCAAAACACATACAAGCAGAGATATGCAACCACATGCACGGGCATGCGCACACGCACACACACACAGAGCCCTGGGGGACTGTAGCTTTATCGCAACATTAGGAGGCTCTCTCTGCCACAGAAAGCCTGCAATGTGTCTGTCCCTTCGCTGCAGTACTGTGAACAGCAAGCAGTGACGCTGATCCCCTTCACTGTGTTACAGTGTCCCCATACAAATATCTCTTACTGAGGCAAACCAAACACAAATTGTGTCTTCACATTGCAGTTGTACATTTTGCATTTGCACATTCACTGCCTTTATTTGCCTGTGCTGACACATCCAGCTCTGGAAAAAGAAATAGAGAACGAAGAGCAAATCTTCTGCTTTACAGAGGGAGACATCTAAAAAAAGAGCTGCTTGATGTTTGGTGTGTGATGTTGTGCAGACAGTAAGATACGACAGATAAAGAGGCCTGTGTGTGTGTGTGTGTGGTGTGTGTGTGTGTGGTGTGTGTGTGTGTGTGTGTGTGTTGTGGGTGTGTGTGTGTGTGTGTGTGTGTGTGTGTGTGGTGTGTGTGTGTGGTGTGTGGTGTGTGTGTGGTGTGTGTGTGTGTGTGTGTGTGTTTGTGGGAGTGTGTGTGTGTGTGTGTGTGTGTGTGTGTGTGTGTGTGTGTGTGTGTGTGTGTGTGTGTGTGTGTGTGTGTGTGTGTGTGTGTGTGTGTGTGTGTGTGTGTGTGTGTGTGTGTGTGTGTGTGTGTGTGTGTGTGTCAGCTCCGCGATGGGGAGAAAAAGATTAGCATTCCTCGATTCATGTCAGACGCTCTGTTTGCTCTGACAATTGTGTTTGTTGTGATGTACCGTCGCAGCAGCCCCCTGCACCGTAACTACACTGTGCTTTTCTACACTGACTAATAACCTTGTCTAAAGGTAAAGTAAGGAACATTTAAAAGAGAAGAGAGATCAACTTCCTGTTGATTCAGCAATGACTAGAACAGACTTGGGGTAATCTGCCAATAGCCGCCTCCCTGATATCAGCTCTTCAAGGGCCAATGAGGCTCCACCAAAACCATGCAAGAACCCAATGAGGCTGCACCAAAACCATGCAGGAACCCAATTAGTCAGCACCAAAACCATGCAGGAACCCAATTAGTCAGCACCAAAACCATGCAGGAACCCAATTAGGCAGCACCAAAACCATGCAGGAACTCAATTAGGCAGCACCAAAACCATGCAGGAACTCAATGAGACAGAAGATCAGAGAGTTAGAAGAATAAAGAGGGAGGAGTTTGGAGGACATTTCCACCTGATGAGGACTAGCAAAGGAGGGCTGTTCAAACACAAACATGCACGCAAGCACACACACACCTGAAACAATTGGCTTTGTTTAGAGGCATCATGTCAGTTTTGGCCAGGAAAAAACCCTCAAACATTTACCTGCCATTGTCTCCTGTGCCATCCTTTGCCACCCTCTCTTGGCGGTTGGCACACACGGAGGTGCCACTTACCGCCTTGGCAGTTTGTTGAGAAACTGAAGCCCATTTATATTTGTTAGGACATGAGCTCAGCGGGCACATTAGGCCATTGCTTTGGGCTGATCATAAGATCACAAGGCAACCCTCTCGCTGCCTTCACTAGTTATTTTCCCATCAAATATCAAGTGTTTGTAGCCCTACTGCCACAGCACAGTCAGACAGCAACTCAATATAGAACGTGGGGGTAATTTGCTACTGCTCATTCTTCATCATACTTCATAAATGCCCGACATAAGAAGGGTTTGGATGCATGTTGTTTTTGTGTTTGTTCTTAAATCGCTATGACTATGAACCCAGACAAACCACAGGCTTGTGATGTGGCCACCACAGGCATGACCTGCATCTGAAATGGCACCCTATGCCCTATATAGTGGACTACTTTTGACCAGGGCCCATAGGTCTCTGGTCAAAGTAGTGCACTATGTAGGGAATAGGGTGCCATTTGGGACACAGCCATGGGATTGGCATTGTGAATGTGAAGCACCAGGAATAGAGATGATGGTTCTGGAACTCTGACAAATGGCCTGAAACTGTGGAATCTCACGTAACAATGGGAAACAGCAAGAACAGATACCAGTCCAGGGTTCCCCAATAGGCGGCCCGCTGTTAGACATAAAAGACTGTAAAATCCCCTGAAAATCATCTCAAAGTTATTTTAATTTAGGAAATCTGTTCCCAAGTATTCCCACGCATAAATAGAGAGGCATATGTAATCGTATCCCAATGTAATCAAGGTTTGAAATGATTCTGTTTTTGTCAAATACTATATCTGTTTGGGATTCTTGCAGTCAATTTGCAGTGTACAAATTATTAATAACTATGTTCCGGCCCAACGACCATCCGCTCAAGGAAATATCGGCCCACGGCTGAATGTAATTGGGGACCCCTGCACTAACCTATAGATAGCCAGCCACTAGAGCCAGCCAGCTAGTTGTTAACCGCTATGCTTTTCTAAAGCAATGTGTTTTTTGGAGGGGGAAGTGCTTCATTCAGTGCTTCATTCAAGGCAGTGCAACTGAAACATACACTAGACTGGAGTGGACACAAATGTTTGGGAGGATACAGTGGAAATAACTTTCTTCCAGGTTAGTAGGTCTATACTCAATGACCTCCAGACAGAAACCTTGCTTAGATCAGCAAAATTTAAATGTAAAATGTCACATTGACATTCACTTTCAAAGAGTGTTATCAAAGCTGTAGAAATAAGTCAGGACTTTCCGCTGATTCAATACTAGGCCAAACATGTTACTGACCATGGTGTGGGACTGTTGGTTATCACGTAACAACATGACCTCCAGATAGAAGGGAGGCATGTGAGGACAGTGAGAAGGTGACAACAGAGTAAGTGGAAATGACAACATGCCACATCCCTGTCACATGCAATGTCCCAAAGCCATCCACGCACGCTGGACACTGCCTGTTTGTCCCAACACTATCCCCTGCCTCCTCTGCTCTCTCCCCTGCCCCTGCCCTGAGTGGATGAGGATGTGTGATACAGTACAGACATACGCTCTCACTCTCAGGCATTACTGAACTTCACAGAGCTGAACAACAGCAGGCTGCTGCCATACCCCTGGAGGTAGTCCTGTAGCAGTCTGCCCATAGCAAGTGATGCAAACATAATAATAGTTGGTGTGTAGACAGTGCTGTGTGTGTGTGTGTGTGTGTGTGTGTGTGTGTGTGTGTGTGTGTGTGTGTGTGTGTGTGTGTGTGTGTGTGTGTGTGTGTGTGTGTGTGTGTGTGTCCATAAAATCACCTTCATTATCCTCAATGCCTCATATCTATAAGCATTGTGTTATGCACTAACAATGATGCATATCATTTTGCATAGTCACTAACAATCTGTGTGACTGTGAAATGTCTAGCCTAAAACCTTATCAGAGATCACAGAGAGCATGTTTGGACCATCTTTTCCATATTATTGTGAAGAGAACTCCTTCTGGCCAGTGGCCACATCAAAACCCCAATTTTCGTCGGCAGCTTGATGTGTAATTACGCACATTTTGATTACTTGTATATTACATTGCAGTGGCATATCCTATTGAGACAATTTGGCTGCAATGCTTTGACAGCTTAGGACATGGATCCCCCAGCTGTTGTGTAAATAACTGTATTACACTGTGACTGCTTGTCATCTTACCTCCTTGACTTTCTCCCGACGCTGAAGGGTCTGAGGGTCGCTCGGCTTGCCATGTTCGACCCCCAAGGGCGGCTTTAGCAGACATTTTTTAAACTTGTTGTAATCGAAAGAAGTATCCGTGTTGGCACCCTGGTTAGAAGACGAGGTCACTTTCTCATCCTTAGAAGCCGGATCCGTTTTAGACATCGACAGCATCATGTCCTCCAACGCTTCCCCGCCAGCGACTTTCTTGTCCGTTTTAGCCTCATTGGTGACAGAGGGCTTGCGGCTCAAGGCTTTGAGTTTTGTGCTTGTCTCCCCTTTGGCCGAGGTGATGCCCCGGAGATGTTCTGGGTCCTTCGCTCCCTTCTTAAGATGCTCCCTTACATCATTCTCAGACTCTACCGTTACTGGCTGGCTCTCCGTCTTTGAGAGAAAAATACGTTTCAAACGGACAGAGTCAGGTAAGAAGAATAAGGCCCCGAAACACAGAGTTACCAAGCCCGAAAGAAAAAGTAGAAACACGAATTTCTGGGATAGGCGAAGACCCATGCCCGATGCCGACACACCGGGCAACTTTCGGAAAACCATTGAAAAATGGTTTTTCTTTATGATTGCCTAAACGTATTCAGCAGTAGGCTATAGGCTACAATGGTTAGACAACACTCCACTCTCACACCCTCTCTGCTGGAAAGCTTCTCTATGTGTCTTGTTGCATGTGTAAAAGTTGATATGAGGGGCTGAAAAACACACCCCTGTGACAAACTGATTGCCAGAACTCTCCTTATCGTGCAATCGATTGGACCTGCATAGGCAAAGGTTACCTTTAAAATTTAGCAATCACGTTTGGCAATGAGATCAATAATGTGTACCTTACATTAGCATGTACAGGTTATGACAGTCATAGCACATGCATTTTATGTTTTTCCTCTTTTTCAATATCTCACATTCACAAAGAAAAAGACAGGTTTATAATTAATGCCACTGTGTTTGCGTAATCCGCACTAAATCTATGGATGTAAAATAACGGAATATGCGGAATCTACTCTATAATGACACAGATGTTTCGTTACTTTACGTAGCCTATTGATCATAAAATGAACCCATCACAAAGCCAAAGTAAAGTTGATATTATCTTCATTATTCCAAGGCGTGCCAATCATCGAAAAATACATCACCAGATGGTAAAAGCATGCATAGAGCGTCTTTATCGGCAGGTCCGTTCATAGCGGTCCCCGTTGCAGGTCACAGAATGATCTGTAAAAGCGAAGAATCACAAGCACAAGCATCTGGGTTTGTTTCCTGTAAGGTAGGCGGATGCTGCTGTTGTATGAAAACGTATATTTATTAATGCCGCCACCGTCCGTTAGAAATCTGCACGCTCTTCAGCCTCTCATCATTTCTCAATACGCAGCACACAACCCACACAGCGAAGGTGAAGGAAGACCTGTGTCCCATACAGGCACGAATTTGTTTTAGCTTCCAAAAATCCGTAGAATGGAGGCTAAAATACAACCATCTAAGAGATATAGTGTAGCTTGCAGTTCAATCCCGTCAAAACACCGTGTCTTCCACCCGCCGTCTACGGTTTGTCTTCTCGTGCGCACCCTTGCTGTACCGTGATCGCACGCTTGCTCGCCACCAGCGCACAGGGGGAGAAATAATAAATAAAATATAGGCTAGAGTGAAACGAATACTGTTGTTAACCCGAGTGGGTTGGTCGGGCTCTCTTGATGGATACCCACCGCGGCTTGTCAAAACATGTTAAAGGTATACGAACCCACAGTCAAAGGGAGGACCCGCGGCAGGGGGTTTATAGTGCTCTCTGAGCGGTCAGTTATGAACCAATGGGGTTGTGGGTCCTATTCCCAAAAGTGCAGTATTGAATAATCTAATTTTAGGCTACCGATTGGGTGAGCATATATATCGAAAATATTGCAAATATAAAGCTATTTTTAGCCATTTAGTTGTTGTTTTTTTGCCCCTTTTTTATTTATTTAGGGACATAATAATCCTTGGCAGCTGTCATCACTCCATACATTAACAACTCAAAGTAGCCAAAATAGTCTTTATGATGAATAAACTACCAAAATTATGTTTATGTCTATAGACATTATAAGACAACATCTAATATGGAAGGTAATAAAATTGATCAGATTAAACATGGGATGTGTAATGAAGAATTGTAGGCTTCCATTGCCTAGAACAGTATGCTGATCACATGCCAAAAGTTTGGGAAGTTCTACCTCTGCATATACGAAGAGAGGGGAGGGCAGATTATAAATTGCAGACATGCTGTTGTCCAGAGACAAAATAAGATAAATGGTCCCAATTAACATGGTGGTAGCCATTAACTAAATAGCTATGCACAGCAGTATCAAACCAACTGGTAGATGGGGAGGGTGTGGTGGGCACCATCAGAGAGTTTACAGGACACCTATAATGCATGGGGAACAAAAATACCTATTATGTTCTCTCTCTCTCTCTCTCTCTCTCTCTCTCTCTCTCTCTCTCTCTCTCTCTCTCTCTCTCTCTCTCTCTCTCTCTCTCTCTCTCTCTCTCTCTCTCTCTCTCTCTCTCTCTTTCTTCTTAGTTTGGGGAATCTTGGGTACATCTGCTCAAGTTACATTGGGCTCAGAATAATGTTAAAATGTGTGTTGAGCAGTTGTTTATGTAATTCCCACGCTCAATTTGACCCCAGAGTCTGACTATCAACACATCTCCCGCTGTAGATGTAATTCAATCAGACTAGCTGCTTGTAATTTACAGCGAGGCAAGCAAAAGAGGAGAATGAACTGTTCAATTCCCCCATGTATTTCTTTGCAACATGGTCTCAGAGCATTTCTTATTATTCTGTACGTAAATCTGACACGCTCCATTTAGTATGATATGTTACGTTTCGTATGGTATGTATTCATTTGTGGATCTCATAATCGATTTCGTATGATATGTTACGAATTACAATTCGTATGATATGTTACGAATTGCAATTCATACAATATTTTACAAATTGCAATTCATAAGATATGTTACGAATTTTCAAAATGTACAATATGTTACAACATTTTGCCAAACGTATGATATATATCAAATTCCAATTAGTTGTTGCTAACGTTAGCTAGGTGGCAAACGCTAACAGTAGCTAGTTCTAGGGGTTAAGGTTAGGGTTAAGGTTAGGAGTTAGTTTAAAGGGTTAAGGTTAGGGGAAGGGTTAGCTAAAAGGGTTAGAGTTAGGGGAAGGGTTAGCTAAAAGGGTTAAGGTTAGGGTTAGGGGAATGGTTAGCTAACATGCTAAGTAGTTGCAAAGTAGCTAAAAAATAGTAAGTAGTTGCAAAGTTGCTAATTAGCCAAAATGCTTAAGTTGTTCATGATGAGATTCGAACACACAACCTTTGGGTTGCCAGACATTCACATTACAGTGGGGGAAAAAAGTATTTAGTCAGCCACCAATTGTGCAAGTTCTCCCACTTAAAAAGATGAGAGAGGCCTGTAATTTTCATCATAGGTACACGTCAACTATGACAGACAAATTGAGGCAAAAAATTCCAGAAAATCACATTGTAGGATTTTTTATGAATTTATTTGCAAATTATGGTGGAAAATAAGTATTTGGTCACCTACAAACAAGCAAGATTTCTGGCTCTCACAGACCTGTAACTTCTTCTTTAAGAGGCTCCTATGTCCTCCAATACCTCTAATACCTGTATTAATGGCACCTGTTTGAACTTGTTATCAGTATAAAAGACACCTGTCCACAACCTCAAACAGTCACACTCCAAACTCCACTATGGCCAAGACAAAACAGCTGTCAAAGGACACCAGAAACAAAATTGTAGACCTGCACCAGGCTGGGAAGACTGAATCTGCAATAGGTAAGCAGCTTGGTTTGAAGAAATCAACTGTGGGAGCAATTATTAGGAAATGGAAGACATACAAGACCACTGATAATCTCCCTCGATCTGGGGCTCCACGCAAGATCTCACCCCGTGGGGTCAAAATGATCACAAGAACGGTGAGCAAAAATCCCAGAACCACACGGGGGGACCTAGTGAATTACCTGCAGAGAGCTGGGACCAAAGTAACAAAGCCTACCATCAGTAACACACTACACCGCCAGGGACTCAAATCCTGCAGTGCGAGACGTGTCCCCCTGCTTAAGCCAGTACATGTCCAGGCCCGTCTGAAGTTTGCTAGAGTGCATTTGGATGATCCAGAAGAGGATTGGGAGAATGTCATATGGTTAGATGAAACCAAAATATAACTTTTTGGTAAAAACTCAACTCGTCGTGTTTGGAGGACAAAGAATGCTGAGTTGCATCCAAAGAACACCATACCTACTGTGAAGCATGGGGGTGGAAACATCATGCTTTGGGGCTGTTTTTCTGCAAAGGGACCAGGATGACTGATCCGTGTAAAGGAAAGAATGAATGGGGCCATGTATCGTGAGATTTTGAGTGAAAACCTCCTTCCATCAGCAAGGGCATTGAAGATGAAACGTGGCTGGGTCTTTCAGCATGACAATGATCCCAAACACACCGCCCGGGCAATGAAGGAGTGGCTTCGTAAGAAGCATTTCAAGGTCCTGGAGTGGCCTAGCCAGTCTCCAGATCTCAACCCCATAGAAAATCTTTGGAGGGAGTTGAAAGTCCGTGTTGCCCAGCGACAGCCCCAAAACATCACTGCTCTAGAGGAGATCTGCATGGAGGAATGGGCCAAAATACCAGCAACAGTGTGTGAAAACCTTGTGAAGACTTACAGAAAACGTTTGACCTGTGTCATTGCCAACAAAGGGTATATAACAAAGTATTGAGAAACTTTTGTTATTGACCAAATACTTATTTTCCACCATAATTTGCAAATAAATTGACTCAAAATCCTACAATGTGATTTTCTGGAAAAAAAATTCTCATTTTGTTTGTCATAGTTGACGTGTACCTATGATGAAAATTACAGGCCTCTCTCATCTTTTTAAGTGGGAGAACTTGCACAATTGGTGGCTGACTAAATACTTTTTTTCCCCACTGTATATTCCTACCCATCCATCCACCCACCCCACTTTTGTTTTTGCCTTAAGTTATCTTCTGTCTTATATAACAATACCAAACGTAACATATCATACTAATTTGAGTTTACTATGTTACATCTAGTCTATGAGACCAGTCTGCACTTTGGCATGCATTTCCTTAGACACCATGAGGGTTTTGTCAGTCTTGTCAGTAACACAGAGAAACAGTTTTAGAAATGCCATCTTTGTAACAGCACAATCTGTGCTGAAAAGCCGAAAAACAATGGATATAGATAGACTATGCAGAACATATGGACAATGGGTCACTTACAAGAATACTAATTGCCTTATCTTCTATCATTAAAGAAAAACAACCATTATTCTCTTCTTAAACCACCAACTAAATGCAGTCATCAAATCAATGGGTAACACTTTACTTGACACCCAGCGTCATAACATGTTATGACACAGTCATAACCATGTCATAATATGTCATAACAGCTGACATAACTTGTCATAACCTGTTATAACATGGTAATAACACTCATGACACATATATTTAGACCTGTTGTGACATATATTGCGT